AGTACATTTAGCCCTGAGACCCAGAGGCGGCTGGTCCGTTGTTGCCCATGATACAGTTGATGGAGCAGATCAATACCAAGGTCAGGAAGGATCTCTGCAATATTGTAATCAACAATCCTATTGGGATCCACTGATCTGTCTGATTAAGATATGGCTCCATCTTTCAGAGCATATCTCAGAGCTGGAGACAGCTGTACCAACCCCCTCTCCAACCTGTCACTCCATGAGTGCTAAAGGAGCATATGATCTGTCCGATCTCAGTGTTAGAGCTGATGTGGGACAGATTCAGTGTCACATGGATGCTGCAGAATAAAGGTGTGTACATATTTTTTTTGTACTAACCCTGTAATTCTTCTTTAATAAGTTTTCAGAATGCATGTGAATGAGAGAAAGTGAGTGTTGGAATGCATTGTTCCTATAATTTGTGCAACAACTATATCAACTAGATGGTGGTGTTTATACATTGGTAGCTGCATCTATGATTAAACTCTATGACTCTTCTCTATAATAAAGAAGAAGCAGAAGAAGAAGGAGAAGCAGCAGGTAAATACATGTGGACTGTCCACTGTCTATTCTAGCGAACCATATGTACAAAATATCTAACAGGTTATGGACCCAGACACCTAGTCATAGCCTGCTAAAACAAAAGAAGTGCAAGATACAGCAACAGAAAAAAGACTGAAAAAGAATAAACGAAAATGGCCAGTAACACAGCTGCAACAAAGCTTTAATTTTCAAATCCAACAAACCAGAACTACCAGCCTTGGAAATTCAAGATGAGAATGCTGCTAATAAGAGAAGATACGTTGAAATGTATAAATGAAGTCAGGCTATAACACCCTTCAGATGTATCAATAGAAAATGACCAGAAAGCTCATGCCACAATCTCTCTTAGCAAATAAGTTGATCAAATCATGGAGCTACCCACCATCATCCTTGTAGACTTCAATATCCCTATCAACGTCAATAACCCGGCTACATCCCAACTTCTCCACCTAACCTCTTCTTTTGCACTCACACAGTGTACACAGTCCTCCACCCACTCCGACGGGAACAGCCTGGACCTTTTTTTCTCTCATCTCTGCACCCCCCACAATCTCACAAACACCCCTTTCCCTCTGTCTGATAGGCCAATCAGTGATCACATGCAAAGTAGTAAGCAAGATGTCACTTGTGACATCATTGCTTACTACGTGTGAAATCTGTGAATGATCACAGAGGTCACATGGTACAAGGCTATTCACAACAGCCTTTTACCATGTGACAAGGTGTGACCAATCTAAGTTCACTCAGTATTTCTCAATGGCTGCAAGAATGCAGACAGAGAGAAAGAGAAATGATTGCTTTTACATCCTATATGGGTGTAAAAGCAATCACTGTAAAAAAAAAAAAAAATCTTCATCACCCCCCACAAGTAGTACAGTGTCACCATGGTGACACTGTACTGCTAGGATGACAGTATGTAAAAAAAAAAAAAAACATACATAATAATATAAAAAAATTAAATAAAAATGTAAAAAAATGTTTACAAATTATAATTTTTGGTTATAAACTAATTTGGCTAATTTTTTTTTTACTAAAAATATAACGGAATAAATTTTGGTCAAGATTTATGATGAAAGATTATTTATTTGCTAAATTTTATAAGAAAAACACTTTTTTAAAAAAAATTTTTGGTCTTTTTTATTTACATAGCAAAAAAAATAAAAATCCCAGCGGTGAATAAATACCACCAAAATTCAGCTTTATCTGTCTCAAAAAAATGGTAAAAAATTCATATGGGTACAGTGTTGCATGACCCCGCAATTGTCATTCAAAGTGTGATAGCGCTGAAAGCTGAAAATTGCCCTGGTCAGGAAGGGGGTAAATGTGTCCGGACAGGAAGTGGTTAAGCGGTACACAGCAGGGTGATCATTGGCAGGATTGTTAAGCCCACTTCACACAACCGTCCACATTGTTCGCAAACTGGGTCCTCGTCATGCCAGGTCCAGGATCTTTTCCACAATAGAGGCACACAGTGGTAAGATGCCGCCTTTATAGCATGAGGAAGATCACAGTGAGGAGTCCCTGCCAGCTTCTGAGGATATAGTAAGATAGGACACTCACTCTGATCCACCACTCACATACTGTGAGATGACACAGATCGCTGCAGATCCTAAGAGATCATGTACATCTGCAATTACTGATTTAAAGGAGGATCTATCTCTCTCTGAGCAATTGACCACATTGCAGAAGGCTGGTGCTTACAGGGACAGGGCGATATCTAGGCTGGAAAAAGTTTCTGAAACACATGCCATACATTTGATTAATGTGAATCGCCACCTTGAAGATTTAGACAACAGAGGGAGAGGCGTCCCTGAATCTGTGTCTGCTGAACAACTTCTGCCAGCCTTACAATCTATAATAATCTGTTATAAAGACCTGCGGACAATGTTATTTCTCATTGAAGGAAGAAATCCTCAAACAAGCCAGACAAAATTATCTCATTACGTTTAACGGTGATGAACTTGTACTCTTTCAGGACCTTTCCCCTATTGCTTTGAAAAATAGAAGAGCACTACGCCCTCTACTGGCCATCATGCAGAAGAAGGGGATTCATTATAGATGGCAGTTTCCTTTTGCCTTGCAAGCTACCCAGAATGGCAAACACTATCTGCTGAGACTGCCTGCAGATGTCTGGGGTTTCTGCAATGACCTCCAACTTCTGTACGTGGAACTACCGGAATGGTTTGAGGAATTTCAACTTCCATCAGCAGTTCCTGCCATCGAATCGACACCTCCGCAAACATCTTCTAAATCACAGTATAGGAAATCCAGGCACCAGAAGCAGGCCGGTCCAGATTCAAGCTTGTCCTCACCGAAATCTGAGCAGTTGATTTAGATGATGCCTGACTGTGATTAGTTGGTTTTGTCTTTTTTTTCCCCTCTATTAAAGTCCTTATTGCTCTTTTTAGTCCATGGTTATTTCCAGATGGAGAAAGCATTGGGAGCTCACATATTGAGGGAGGTCTTGTCCGCGGCTGACCACAGTGGGCTCACTTCCCTTAATGCGTGTTTGTTCTTGCTCTTGTATTTCTGTTTGATATAGTTTGACTAATTGATGATGGTTATGTGCTTAATTAGCCAGGTGATACTATTTTATGCTGCTTATTATTGGCTCTCAGGGCTCACATGGCCTATTGGTTATGAGTCTATTGGCACCTTGTTTAATATTGTTGCACCTATGTAAGATATATTTTCTATCATTGCAAATGATCTCTGGATCCTAACTAATCTCTGCGATACTGCCCCTGCAGTTACCTGAATCCTGCATTTAATACATGTGTTGTTGGCTTTGAGTTCAGATCTCCCTATATGTATTTGCCATTTGTTTATTATTACTTTTGCCATTCCTACGGTAAGCTTTATCATAAGCATTATCTTTCACTATTGAAAGACGGCTGTGCATGTTCAATTGCCCCTCCCATGAGCCCTCAATTTGGCAGAGTAACTCCTTGAGTGCGATATCATAACCTCTAGTATTTCTGCCTACTTCTCTTGATGCTTATTTAACCTTACGATATGGTATTTTTTCCTGTACCATTCACCATTTGCTCCTACCAGTTTGCAGTATCATAAAGGTTAGCGATAAACAAGATTTTCTTTCTACATATTTGTTTTGAACAGATCCACTCATGCATTCTCTGTGGCTTCCTCTTCTTATACTCTCTTCTTATTTCACCAGCATGACTTACTCAAATCTAGGGAAAAAGCCCCTGATCATCTCCCATAATGTTAGGGGCTTAAATGCTCCTGAGAAGCGTTCCCAATTGTAACGCAAGCTTTATAAAGCCAGGCCTTCTATAGTGTTCCTGCAAGAAACGCATTTTAAAACTGGACAGATTTCGAAATTGTCGAGCAAATACTTTACAAAAGCATACCATTCCACTATTGCTTTGGCCAAGACTAAGGGGGTCACCATACTGATCAGTAGGAAGGCACAGATTTTGATCACAGAACAATCAATCGACCAGAAGGGTAGATACGTCTTCTTAAAAGGCTCATGTGCAGGTACTCTGATCACCTTGGACAATGTCTATTTCCCCAACTCAGCTCACATCTCCTTCTGTCAACATATCGTGGATGAGCTCAAAGGGTTTGCAGCTGGCTGTCTGATCCTAGGGGGAGATTTTAATATCCCACTTAACCCTGCTTTTGACACATCTAATGGGACAACCTGTAACGCATATAAAAATCTTAAAAGGGTTAAGCTACTTCTGAGATCTTTATTACTGATTGACGCTTGGAGATCACTTAACCCCTCTGGCCATGATTACACGTGCTATTCCCCACCATACAACCAATATACCAGGATTAATTACCTTTTTATTTCTAAAAGAGACCTCCCTCTGCTGACTGACACTAAGATCGGGATACAATCTTTTTCAGATCATACCCCACTATCGCTGAGTTTGACTCTCCCGGGTAAGACAGCTAAGACGTATAACTGGAGACTTAACCCGGCTCTGTTGACTGATGTTGAAATCCTGACCGATATCACCAATACGCTTAAACAATATTTTGATATCAATAAGGGTACGGAAACGTCTCCTATTGGCATGTGGGAGGCACACAAATGTGTTGTTTACGGAGTGTTTATTAAACACTTGCCTACCAGGGACTTATACCCCCTTATTTACCAGGCCAATTTTCAGCTTTCAGCGCTGCCGCACTTTGATTGACAATTGCGCGGTCATGCAACATTGTACCCATATGAAATTTTGATCATTTTTTTCTCACAAATAGAGCTTTCTTTTGGTGGTATTTTATCTCCACTGGGCGCTTTACTTTTTGCGCTATAAATAAAAAAAGTGCAAAAAATTTGAAAAAAAAAAAAAAGTTTCTTTGTTTCTATTATAACATTTTTCAAACAGGTAATTTTTCTCCTTCACTGATGTGTGTTGATGAGGCAGCACTGATGGACACTGATAGGCGGCACTGATGGGCACTGATAGGCAGCACTAAAGGGCACTGATAGGCAGTACTAATGAGGTGGCACGGATAGGTGGCACTGATAGACAGCACTAATGAGGTGTCACGGATAGGCGGCACTAATATGCAGCACTGATAGGCGGCACTGATAGGTGACACTGATGATGGGTACTGATAGACGGCACTGACTGGCATCACTGCTGGGCACTGACTGGCGGCACTGACTGGCACAACCGCTGGATGCTGACTGGTGGCACTGACTGACAGCACTGCTGGGCTGCACTGGTGGATGGCACTGGTGGGCAGCACTGGTGGGTGGGCACAGGTGGGTGGCACTGGTGGGCACAGGTGGGTGGCACTGGTGGGCACAGGTGGGTTTCACTGCTGGGCACAGGTAGGTGGCACTTCTGGGCACAGGTGTGTGACACTGCAGAGTGGCACAGGTGGGTGCACTGCTGGGCACAGGTGGGTGATCTGCTGGGCACAGGTGGGCGGAGCTAGTGGGCGCACTGCTGGGCACAGGTGGGCAGAACTTGCGGGTGCCACTGCTGGGCCCAGAAGATCGGTGCCGATCCTCGCTCTGACAACTGCTGGTTCTCGGCAGTACTTTCCTCACGATCTGACAGTGTGAGGAAAGTGCAGCCGAGAACCGGCACTTGCATTTCCCTCTGATCAGCGTGTCATTGGACACCGCTGATCACGTGGTAAAAGGCCGCTGTGATTGGCCTTTTACCACATCACGTGATCAGCTGTGTCCGTAGGACACAGCGATCACGGAGATCGCCGGGTGCGCGCCCCCTGGGGCACGCAGGAGAGCGCGTTCTGGGAGGACGTCATATGACGTCCACTCAGAGCTGGCCGGCCGCAGTGCAGCCGTCATTCGGCTATCTGCGGTCGGCAACAAGTTAAGTGGGGCAGCAGATGGAAAAGGGAGCAGTCTAGGAGAATTGCAGACATTTCTGCAAACATAGCGAAACTTTAAACTCAGCATAAACTATCCCTTGCCAATTCCATGGCGGCTGAACTTCAGAAGGCGCGGTTGGAACTACAGACCATCCTAGACACCAACTATAAGTGATCCCTATTTTTAAAAAAACAAGAGGGAGCAAATAAAAGTGGGCGTTACTTGGCCAGGGTCTCGCAAGAGGCTAAACTCAATGGAAACATTCATGGAGTCAGAAACTCAAAAGGCACCTTGGAACATGACAGTAAATTGATTGCCTCCTTATTTCATCAATATTATACCACCTTGTATAACCTGCCCCCCAGTCACACCCCCAAAGATCTTAAGGGAGAGAAATTTGATTTAATTAATGATTGTCTTCGGAAAAGTAAACTGCCTTCCCTAAAACGTTCAGATGTTAAATTGCTAGAATACTCTATTGGGGAAATAGAGTTGGCTAATGCTATTAAAAGTTTAAAATCGAGGAAAAGCCCAGGTCCAGATGGACTGACGTCACAATATTATAAGACCTTTAGCTCCCTACTCTCTATGACTTTACTGCAGACACTCAATTCTTTGAGCATGCAACAGCCTATACCTCCTTCTTTTTCTCTTGCACATATCACTGTCATCCCTAAAAAGGATAAAGACCCTGCCGAACTTACAAGTTACAGACCAATTTCCCTACTTACAATTGATACAAAGTTGCTAGCGAAAATACTGGCCAACCGGCTTCGACCTTACCTATCTGATATCATTTGACCAGAACAAGTCGATTTTATGCCAGGCAGGGAAGCACATGACTATATTGTAAAGGCCCTTAACCTAATCCATAGAGCGAGGTCGAGGGCTTTGAGGGCCTTTTCCTCTCTACCGATGCAGAGAAGGCCTTCGATCATGTATCTTGGAGCTTTATGTTCCCTATGTGTGCTCATATTGGACTGGAACCTCATACAGTATGTTGCATTGGATCTCTCCTCTATATCAGAATCCAATGGCTAAGATTAAGGTTAATGGCATGCTTTCTGAAACCATACCTATTAAGAATGGAACAAGACAGGGTTGTCCTCTTTCTCCTCTTCTGTTCATTCTCACTCTTGAACCCTGCATACGGCTGGTTCAGCAAAATTAAGCGATACATGGATTCTAGATCAATGATGAGACTTTCAAAACTGTGGCATATGCAGATGGCCTGCTATTTTTCATATCTCAACCTCACATTTCTGTACCTAACCTTCTGAGCTTATTCAACCATTATAAATTTTTCTCAAATTTGAAAATAAATTACACTAAATCAGAGGCTTTGAATTTAAGTGTAAGCTCCTCCTCCTTAGCCCTCATTAAACGAAACTGCTCTTTCAGATGGGTTCCTACAGAACTCAAACATTTGGGCATCTGGCTCACTCCAAATCTTGATAACGTATAGATGCAAAACTTTGTGACCTTACTACGCAATATTCAGAAAGATCTCAAAAATTGGCACACAAAAACTTGGTAGGGCAGCCATCATTAACCATTAGCCGCCCGGCCAATGGCCGTTTGGCGGCTTCAAAAGTGTCTCTGCACTCCAGGTGCACGCCATTTGGCGTGCTCCCGCACATGCGTAGTTTGCGCTAATGCAGAGCGGCGAAGCAGTGCGATCTGTCACCGGCCGTGCACCTTGGACACGGCCGATGACAGATCCGAGTACCGGCTCCTGTTGCTGGTACCATGTGACCTGCTGTGAGCAATCACAGCAGGTCACATGACAGTTGTATACAATGGATGGCTTCATTCATGATGCCATCCATTGTATACTAGTGCCTAGCTGTGAATGGTCACAGCTAATCACATGTACATGTCATGTGATTAGCTGTGACCAAATCACAGCTAAGCACAAAAAAAAAAAAAAAAAAAAAAAAAAAAAAAGCTGAATGAATCAATTTCATTCAGGTAAATGCTTGCTTATAGCAAAGTAATTCTTTGCTATAAGCAAATTGTGTAAAAAAAAAAAAAAAATACTGATCACTTCCCCAAAGTAGTACAATGTTACTATGGTAACATTGTACTACTTTGGTCATAGTAAAATATGAAAAAAATCTTAAAAAAAAGAAAAAAAAATGTAATAAAAAATTAAATATAATAAAAAAAGAAAATGTAAAAACTAAAAAAAAAATATATTTTTTTTTTTTTCATACTGTCACCAGTCAGTGTCCCTGTTCACCGCCATGCTAGTTATATGATGACGCTGTACTGCACTGGTGACAGTATGTAAAAAAAAAAATAGTGAAAATAATTTTTTTAATTTTTTCATTTTCCAAAAAATTATGACAAAAAAATACAACTTCAAAAAACTCGCCATGCCTCTTATGAAGTACGTCGGACTGTCTACTCTGCAAAAAGGGGTCATTTGGGGATATCTGTACTATTCTGACATTCTTGGACCTCAAGAAATTAGATTGGATGTCAGTTCTTCAGGATTGATCAATATTCAGATCTATACCATAGTTTGTGAACTCTATAACTTTCCTACAAACTAAAAAATACATCCTAATTTGGGTTATTTTCACCAAAGACATGTAGCAGAATACATCTTGGCCTAAATTTATGAAGAACAATAATTTATTTGTAAACTTTTATAACAGAAACAAAGAAAAAGGTGTTTTTTTTTTTCAAAATTTTTGGTCTTTTTTTGTTAATTTAGCAAAAAATAAAAACCCCAGTGGTGATTAAATACCACCAAAAGAAAGCTCTAGTTGTGTGAAGAAAATGATAAAATTTTAGTTTGGGTACAGTGTTGTATGACCGCGCAATGGTCATTCAAAGTGTGAGAGCTCTGAAACCTGAAAAATGGCCTGGGCAGGAAGGTGTAAAATTGCACGGTATTGAAACGGTTAAAATTTATATTCTTCCTCAGATACTTTATTGCATGAACACTCTCCCGATTAGGCTCCCATCAACCATTTTTAAGAAATTACAACAGGCTCAAAGAGCCTTTGTGTGGGCCATTAAAAAAAACCACGTATTCGATTTCATCTCATCACGCACACCAAGAGTTCTGGAGGTATGGGGTTACCAGGCTTTAAAAAGTATTACTATGCTACTCACATCACCAGAATCATAGACCAGAGTTGTCATGCCAAGCATAAACATTGGGTTTCCCTGGAAAGTTCTTGCATTTCAGCTCCTTTAAGATTTTCACCATGGCTGTCAAAGTCTGCTTATCCAAAGTGTTTGTTAGCACATCCCTTAATTGGTGCAACATTAGATGCTTTTCATGACCTTGCAAGGGTTGTGGGTTTTGCTAGTTCTCTGGGTCCTCTCACTCCTATTGCTGGTAATCCAGAGTCCCCCCGTCGGGTTGGAGACTGCGGTGATTCCAGTGCATGAGTTAGGCTTATCTCTGTTGAAGACTCACTGCCTCAAATGTGGGGGAGTTAACTCCAAAGGAGAGCTTCAGGAGCTATTTAGAAAGGTTTCGATCCCATACTGGACTTATTTTCAAATACACAATTATTTGACTAACCACAGATGGAAGGCAGATTTTTCCAGGCACCTCAACTCTAGAAACGCTTTGCTTAAAGGGGAAACCCGTCAACAAAACCACCTCTTTGGCCTATTCATGGCTTCAAAAACACTCCCTCTGAACCCCCTGACAATTTTTGGACGGGTTGGAAATTAGACCATCAGGTAGAGTTCTCTGATGAGAAATGGAGAAAAGCCTGCATCTTCGCTCACAAATGATCCATCAGCACTAGGACTCAAGAAACCTCCTATAAATTGTTAACAAGATGGTATGCTACACCGGATAGGTGAAAGAGGTGGTTCCCCCAGACGTCAGGCTTATGCTGGCGCTGTGAATCATCTGAGGGCTCCCTGTTACATATTTGGTGGCAATGCCCAAGACTTATGCCATTTTTGGACAAAGTTTGCAAGCTGACATACTCTATTACTGAGACTGCATTACTCTTAACCCCCGAATGTTGTCTCCTCCATATCTCTGAGTGCTCTTTGAAATCGTACAAGCAATCCTTGGTTAGGTACCTTTTTGAATGTGGCCAAGTTCCTAATCCCCAGAAATTGGAAGACCACGCATGTCCCCTCGATTCAAGATTGGATAAGAGAGGTTAACGTCATTCAGGAGTTGGAAAGGACATTGACTATGATCGATGACATGTAAACACAAACAAGAAAGCAAGCGCTAGAAATCCAAAGCTGCTGTAGCACCGAAAAGGTAACCAAATAAACCTTCCGAAATCACTGATAAATAATAGGTGCAGCGCTAGAAAGACTTAAATGACTCTTGAACTGGTATACGTGATGAAGTGCAAATATAAGTAAGCGCTAATGCAATCATCAAAGTCAGAAAAAAATATATTATATATGTATATATATATATTGCTGCCCCAGATAAGTGACAATAATAAATAAATAAAGTGACTGTTAGTGCTGATAAAGTGACAAATATCATTAAGCAGCTAACAATTGTACAGATATGACAATTCAATGTCCATAAAGTGACAAAGTGG